AGATATATGGTAGCAATCATCCCCCAAGCATATGGCCCACCCATATAGATCTGAAGGGTCTCACGACTAAGGTTTTATTAGATGACCTTTCCCTAATAGTAGCTAGCTCCCTCAAGGTCCTGGGTCCTCCCAAATCCTACTACCTCTTGAGGAGTTCTCTGGGGCACTGACTAAAGTCAGTACTTTCTCTTTGTCATCTAGTACTGGTTAGATGTCCTACTAGTCAGTGATAGTTTTTTGTTTGGGAATATTTTAATTTACTATGTAATTGTATTTATAGTTATTTTCCTTTTTTTTTTTAAAGATTCATTTATTTATTTATTTATTTGACACAGAGAGAGAGATCAGAAGTAGGCAGAGAGGCAGGCAGAGAGAGGGGGGGAAGCAGGCTCCCCACTGAGCAGAGAGCCCGATGCGGGGCTCCATCCCAGGACCCTGAGATCATGACCCGAGCTGAAAGGCAGAGGCTTAACCCACTGAGCCGCCCAGGCACTCCTATAGTTATTTTCCATGTGTGTATGTGCCTTACCCATTTCGAGGGCAAACTCATTGAAATTTAAAATAATAACAATTGACCCCAACAAGGCAAGGTAGCTACTGACAGATGGTGGTCCCGAACTGGTGAGAGATATTTAGGTACAGTGAATTTTCTCTGGCTCAGAGTTTGATCTGTAAGACTCCAGGGGACCAGAGAGTTCATTTCTCTTAAGATCAAATGTCTTAATTTCCACCTTTGCATTCTCTTCATCAATCAACAAGTCCAGAAAGCCCAGGAAGACTGTAGGTATGGAGAGGGAGGAAAAAACTTGAAAACCTTCCAACATCAGGTACTCCTTCTGGTGGGGGTAGAGGGGTGCCATGGGAAGGGGAGAGAGAATAAGGGAAAGGCAGACAGAGGCATCACTAAAAAGGAATGGGAGCATGCCTCAAGAATGGTGCCATGCCTTCTTGATTTTGTGGCAAAGAAGATGAAATATTTAATAACAAAATTCAACGTTTGAGTCATAAAGTGATTTAGCAGCACAGCTGTGCCAAGCAGAGTAATGGCCCCTCCAAGAGGTCCAGGCCCTAATCTCTGGGACCCAGGCATATGTAATCTTCCAAGGCACAACACACTTTGCAGATGGGATTAAGATAAGAATCTTAAAATGGAGGAGATTATCCTGGATTATCCAGTTGTATGCAATGTAATCCCAAGAGTTTTTGCAAGCGAAACAGGGAGAGTCGGAGTCAGAGAGAGATTATGTTGCTGGTTTTGAAGACAGAGAAAGGGGCCAAGAACCAAGAAATGCAGGCAGCCTCTAGAAAGGATGCAGAAGGCAAGAGAACAGATTCACAGCAACACAGCCTCCTGATGTATTGATTTTATTTTATTTTTTAAAAAAGACTTTATTTATTTATTTGACAGACAGAGATCACAAGTAGGCAGAGAGGCAGGCAGGGGGTGGGAGAAAGCAGGCTCCCTGCCCAGCAGAGAGCCGGATGAGGGGGTGGATCCCAGGACCCTGGGATCATGACCTGAGCTGAAGGCAGAGGCTTAACCCACTGAGCCACCCAGGCGCCCCTGAGGTATTGATTTTAGTTTAGTGAGCCCTGTATCAGACTTCTAACCCACAGAATTGTAGGATAATAAACGTGTGGTTTTTTTAAAGCAACCAAGTTCAAGGCGATTTGTTACCGCAGCCATGGAAAACTAAAACAATCTAACAAATGCAATATATGGAGCATTTTGAGGGAAGACCTAAGTGAGCTGCTCAGTGTCAGTGGGGGATCTCAAGGGAAGGTTTCCCGGCACATACCGGGGAAAGTGAGCAGGAATATCCAGGTGAAGAAGAGGGGAAAGGACATTCTCATTTATGGGGGGGTGGGGGGTGGGGGGGTGAGGGTGTGCTTGAGTGGGGAACTAAGGCAAAATGGAATATAAAGTGAGAAACAAGAGAGGGTTTGGAACAGTACAAGCCATTTCACCTGACTGGCAGACAATGTAGTGATCCGGCAAGAGAGGAAGCAGGAGGGATGGAGGTGGCGACTTCTCTGCTGGGGGCTGGGGGTGGGGGTGTGGTGGGAGGGTGGTTTAGGCTTTAAACCCAAGGTCATGAGGGGGTTTTAATGAATGGTAGTGGTGGTGGGGTGTGGGTGTGGGGGGTGTGGATGTGTGTATTGGGGGAGGGGGAAGAGCTGAAATGACATGGTAGGATTTGCATTTAAAAATACATATTACAAAAAAACCCATATTATATGCAATTTCCTTTTAACAAATAACCCCCAGACAGAAATAAAGAACAGTGATTTCAAATATGAGCCCTGGTCTGAATGCCACAAGGCAGAAGCACTGAATGTGGGCACCTGATTTACGGTCAGATCCACTTTTAGCCAGGACAACAATGTGTAGTGTGCTCCAAGGGGCAGAATGCACCTGCTACTTTGTTCCCTGCCCCGACCCCCATCCTTCCTTTTTAGTGAACCCCTGACACAGGGTCAGGGTATTTATTCAGGGAGGGTGCTGAGGCGGGTTTGAGGTGCTCTAGTCCCTACAACCCAAACCATTCCAAAAAATACATAATACTAAAATACCAATACATTTTTTGAAATGTGGATAACCATAGGTAAAATGTGAAGAAAAGCGGTTTTAGAATATATGGTATTTAAAATGATTTATGTATTTTTCTGACATAAAAATAGCAATCAAATGCTACAACTATAAGAGAAATCCATAAATATTGATCTGCTTTTCCTCTATTTTCACCCTCTGAGACATCCCCCTGGAGTTTTAAATTTAAGGATGGTTTATGGATTTTCCTGAGCAACCCTATGCAGGTTGTTTTTTGTATTTCCGTATTCTCCCTAATTCTGAGTGGTTCCCTGCTCTCCCCCTCAGAAAGTTATTAAAATTATTGCATTAACAGTACTTTTGCAGGACTATGAAATACAGTCAGTACTTGATACTGACCAGAATGATCAGTTTCCATTAAAGTCCTCTCTCTCCCTCCAGGAAAGTGCACAGAAGTCTTACCTTCACCTCTGATCTTCTCAGTTTCTCTGGGATATGGTGGGACTTAAATACAAAATGGAAAATGTTTAGTTTCCAAAACGGAAAAGCACTTAAGTATTATTACTTTTAGTAACTTTGTAAAAAATGTTTAAAGAGTAGAAAATCTCTTCACTCCGTGTCCTGGATTACTCACTGGGGTATCCGTCCTGTGTTTACCTGGCAAAACTGGGACTAGTGGAGTAGGTTTCCCTCTCTGAGAAAGGTTAAGGCCTGAGAGAGAGGTGAGGGTCACCGAATGCAAGGCAGTATCCCAGATTCCAGCTCAGAAGGAGGAAATGTAGTGTTTAGGGGACCATGTTATGCTTATGCAAACACAAGCAATCGAAACCCACATAACAAAGGATTTCTTCAATGAATAACAAATAACAAAGCTGGATTTCTTCAATGTTTAATGTCATTATAAACACCCATGGCTAACTTTGGAACGTGATTTGTCTATAAATACACATATATCTATTAATAGACCCACAAGGATTAGTTAACCAAAATTTTTCTAAAGAAACATCAACTTTCACTTCTCCAGTTGGGTAGCAATCTACAAGCTCATCTGTTAGGAAAACAAACGAAGAGACAAAATATTTCTTTCTTTCTTTCTTTCCTTTTTTTTTTTTTTTTTTAAATAGGGCTGGAAACACAGTAATCATAGGATTCCCAGGAAGATTCAGAATAGTCCTCAGATATTAGGGGGCCAAGGTTTCAGATTTCTGTATCTGTTAAATGTGAGAGGGGCGGAGCCAATAATTAGTGAGGTTTTTATCCGCAGCCCGTATATGTTTATGAACTTTCAAAGGCACACAGGACCCAACCCGAAAGAGCTCCCAGGAGCTCTTTGTTCCCAGCTAGAACAATCTGAACAACATCATACATAACATGATATTGAATTATAGCTCAAAGTATAAAATGAATATATATGAATCCATGCTGATGTAATAAATGATCAAATAGATAAATAAATGGGAGAACAGGAATAAATCCTCTTTACAGAAAAATTCCGATAATATACGCAGATACTCCCTCCCACACCCAGGTGGAATTTCATTCCACTCTCCTTTCTTGAGGTGAGTTGAACTTAGTGACTCCCATCCAAAGAAAAGAATATGGAAAAAAGAAAACCAGTAACTGTGCAGTGGAGAAAGCTGGCAAATAGTACTGTAACCAGGCGATAAAGATTAATGTCACCAGCAGTTAAGTCATGTTGCTTTCATGTACCCTGATAGGATGCTGTGAGGAGAAAGGCACTTTCCCATCATGGTCTTCTTCCACCAAACCCATAACCATAGTCTGGTCTTAAGGAAAGCAACAGACAAAACCAAAATGAGAGATATCCACAAGATAGCTTAATAGAATTCTTTAAAACGATCAAGAAATGATCAAGACTTAAGAAACTGTTACAGACCAGAAGAGAGTAAAGAGACATGACAGCATGCAGCGCGGAACCCTGGATGGGATCCTGGTACAGAAAGATATTTAGCGGAAAACTAGTGAAATTTGTAAAAGGTTGAATTTAGTTAATAGCAGGGGCCCAGTGTTAATTTCTTAATTTTGACAAATGTACTATGCACAGGTGCACATGAACACGTACAGAGACGTAGGACGTGAATATTAAGGGGGCACTGGCTGAAGGGTTTAGGGTACTCTGTACTATCTCTGCAACTTTTCCTTAGACCTAAAATTACTCCAAAATAAAAAGTTTTATTATAAACAACAAAGACAAAAGTTCATGAACTGAGAGCGCAAACAGAACCTTCTTCAAAATCAGCAACAACTGCCACCGACTGGAGCGCAGCGTTCAGGACGGGGGGGTGGGGGTGCAGGGAGTGCACCCCCGGGTGCGTGGAGCAGGGCGTGTGCGTCCCCGCGGGAGCGCGGGCTCCTCCCCGGAGTCGCCCAGGCGCCGGACTCTGCCCGGGGCGCACCCTGGGGGGCGGAGCCCAATGTGACGGCGGCGGAGCCACCCACGCCCGACGGAGCCGACCCGGGGCGGGAGGCGGGAGAGCGAGGCCGGGACCCCACGCTCGCTCAGCGCGCTCCAAGGTAGGCGAGCCCCGGCGACCCGCGAGTTCAGCCTCCGGGTGAGGCCCCCGGAGCGGGTTCCCCCAGCACGGCGCCCCGACGGCAGAAACAGGCTCTCGGTTGGGAGGGGATTCCTCCCTGGATTCTTCTCTCCGCTCTGGGCGGGAAGTTTCCGATTCCCCGGGCGGGAAGTCTGTGCTCCTCTCGCAAGAGAAACAGTTGCCTTTCCCCGAGAAAGAACAACCTTCCTTTGGGCCGCAGCACATCTGGTTATTTATTTAGGTGACTGTTTTGCAGTCCCTTTGCCAGGGGTCCCCGAGAGTGAGAGGACCGGAAGACTTGATGTCACCTTGTGGCCGCTCTGACAGGTCACTGGGCCCTCAATTTTTAAGAGCACAAATGAATGAATAAAGGTGGTTGTCTTAACCTTCCATCCTTCCTGCTGGCTTCTGCAGTGGCAGGTGCATGTAGCAAAAGGCGAACAGCCCACTGGCTGACAGTTTTCTACTGCCTTGGGATTTTAGAGCTGGAAGTTACAGAGCTCTTGGCAGGTGTGCAAAGAAGCTTTATTATCTGACTGAAGAATATAGTACAGGAGAGTGCAAGGATAGCTGTTAGACTGAGTGAAGACGTGGCTGTAAATTTTTCACCTTTTTTCAAAGAGGGGGAATATATGTATGTAATGCATATAAAGATATCTATAAATACATATTATATGTGATATATAATATATAAATGCATTGTGTATATTAAATATATAATATATAGATATACAAATATATAAAAATATTATATATAAATATGTGAAACATATATAAATATATGTAAGTATATATTATATATATAAAATAAGGATCAGAAGAAGCAATAAGCCCCAAACATAACTGAGCTGGGTCTGTCTTCCATTATATTGTAGTTGTTTTATTTTAGGAATCAAAACTTTCTTTGCTGTCTTGGTATATATAGACTAGATGAAATATCAAAGGGAGTTATTCTGCATTTGCAGTAAGGAAAAGATAATCTGCCCTTTTGATTTTACCTAATGATATTAAATATTCAGTTCTGCAGAAGTCTGGTTTTTCAGAAATATGATCTGAGCCAGAGTCTCAGGTATACCCTGGCAGACACAGTTGGTGCTTTGTTTCCTGTTACTGGCCTGTCCCTTTCCCTCTCAGTACACTGAGAGTTTTAGAGCAAAGGTCCCTGGCACAGAGCAATTTGTGCCTAAGGCAGGGTATATACGCTGGTGGCTCCTCAGCTACTTACAGAAAGAATGAAAACAGCTTGTACTTCCTGCAAATTTCTTAAGGTTCCGATCTTTGTGATTTGCTATATAAATTTGGTAACTAAACAGGCACTAATGAAAAAAAACTTTTGAAATAAATACAGACACTATTTCTGTTTTGTCATTCACCTATATGATTTCGTGAATTAAGAACAGGCACGTTCTTTGCTAGCTGACTGATTTACAGTGTGCTGGACAGCAAGTGGGCTTAGGTGTCGTCCAAGTTCTAGCTGAAGCTGAAAAATTAGGCGTATATTTATTCGTTTGGGATCAAGACTGAAAAAGGAAAGAACTATAAGTTTTGAACAGAATCTAAAAATCTTTCAAAGTCCTGGTTTCAAATGTTTTGAACTGAGATATTTATATCAAAATTATAGGCCATTTATGAATAGAAAATAAATTCATAATGGCAAAGTGTTACTATCAACTTAATAACATGTTTAGGTGAATTTGCATTTTACTAAGCATGAAAACAGCCAGCTACATGGATTTGGAAAGCAAAAGCATGAGTGTGTGCACACTGAGTTTTAGAAAATATTTGGTGCACACGCAGATTTGTGGACCCTATCCACACGCTTGCTGAGTACCTGTTGGTTAGGGTACTTTGTTCTGAGTTCAAACTGGGAGGGCGGGGTGGATACAGCTTTGTGTAAATAAGTCACATCCCTGTCCTCCTGGAATTTGCACAATGCTGGACACCTCCAGGACATCTTCAGATCATAGATAAGAACCACATCAATAATCATCTATCAGTTTTGACAGTGATTGGAACTAGAGTATCTTCAAATCACATACTCTCTTTCACCATTTTAAATAGTCAACTCTAAAATTGTAAAGGAACTTACATATTATTCAGGTCCGTGTTTTTCTCCTTTGCTTGGATTGGGGAAGAATTTAGGAATCACGTGTTGCGGGTTAAATATTATGAAAAATGGAGATGTGAAGCCTGAAATAGCTAAATAGCAATTTCATGCAAATTAAATAAAAACTAAATTGTAGTAGTGGGTGCCAGTAATTTAGTATATAAATCAGTGAGTGAAAAACTTCAAATTGAGAAAATTCTACCCATCACATTATTTTTTCCCGTAAATTAGGAAACTATGACTACAATTATATTTTACCACAAAGGAAAAGATTTACTTTGTCCAAGGCATCTTGCGTATTGTTGTTGTTGTTGTCATTGTTGCTGTTTTCAAAAAACAGCTTTTCTGGGGCACCTGGGTGGCTCAGTTGGTTTAGCGACTGGTTTCAGCTCAGGCCATCATCCCAGAGTCCTGGGATTGAGCTCCTCATCAGGCTCCCTGCTCAATGGGAAGCCTTCCCACTTCTCCCACTCCCACTCCCCTGCTTGTGTTCCCTCTCTCGTTGTGTTTCTCTCTTTCTGTCAAATAAATAAAATCTTTGAAAAAAAATAGCTTTTTTTGGAGGTATAATTTACATACCACAAAATATATCCAAATGGACGATTCAATGATTTTTTAGTAAGTTTCTGGAATTGTGCAACCATCACCACAATCCAGTTTTAAAGCATTCTCAGCATCCCCAAAAGACCCCACTTTCCTATTTGTTACCCCTAGACAACCACTAATCTACTTTCCTCTCTCTTTTTAGATTTGACTTTCTGGACATTGCACACAAATGGGATCAGACAATAGATGGTCTTTCGCATCTGGCTCCCTTCGCCCAGCCTAGAACAATGGTTTTGAGTTCATTCAGGGTGTAGCATGCATGGATCAGTAGCTGGTTCCTTTTTCTTGCTAACTACTATGCATCCCATTCTCTGGCTGGTCCACATTTTGTTCACCAGCTGGTGGATATTTCTGCATTTACATTTAAGTGGTAAGACAGATACTTTGGTCCGGCTTCCATGGTAGCATAATTCAAAAATAATTGGTAGGAGCCAACCTCTTATTTATATTTGTGAAAAATATATTCCCGATATGGATTACTGCTATTTTTCATGATCTTTCTGTGATACTCCCACGAAAATAGTAAATAGTTAACCCTGTGCAAGTAGCAAAAGACATCAATTATTTGGGATTCTAGGTTGGACTTGGAAGATGTTTCGCTCTTGACATTCCTATTTGCAAAGAGAATTCGTTATCTCCTTTGGTATATTTTCTTCACAAATAATGCATTTAGAGTGGGTGAATTTTGATGATTGTTTGACCTAACAGTGAGGACTGAAGTATTCCCAAAAATCTGAGTGCTTCCTAATAACATATTTAAGTGGCACACTTAACTTAAAGCATGAGGCATGTATAGCCTTAAGCCTTAAAAAGTTGAAGGGAGTGCATGTGAATTTATGTGCTTTTAGTTTTATTAGTCTATGGTTTCTATGACTGCTTTAAAAAAATGAAACAGATACAACTGTTTATTTACAAAATCAGGCACTAGGTTGAGTTCTTAGATGAGTGAAAATCTGAAACAGAAAAAAAAATGCCACTTCATTTTTCTCTAGGACCTTTTTAAGGAGCTAGAGAAAAATTGTAAATTATTCCAGGTTCCTATTAAGTGGTGGTGTTTTTCTGTGTTTCGTCCAGAGAATAAACCAAATTGGAACTTTCTAACATTGCAAGAACATTGACCTTTGAATTCCTTAGGAATCAGGAACCTTGAGCAACAGTTCCGTTGGAGTTGTTCCCTTGCCATTCACCCGGCTTTCTGCCAACTATGACAGTAAATGCATTCTTAGGAGGTTACGCTTGGCAACTTATGCTTAAAGATCCTCTTAGAAGGATTTCTCTGGTTGAGTAGAAACCCTTCGAGAAAAAGTTGGCAAATTCCGTGAAACTAAAGAGAAGACAATATGTCTCTTCACGCCTGCAAGTTACTGCTAGAAATTACACTTTCCTGCTGGGGAAAAAAGAGCATTAATATAACTTGAAGGTCTGTTTTATTGACAACTTAGAATGCGAAGGATTTTATTTTTAAAATTCTAAAATTTGAAAACAAGATAGTCTAGATTAAATAATGTAGTTTTCCAAAGCTGAATGTGCTCATTTGGAACTCAGTTTTTTCTGTTTGAAATATCAGAACAACTTGCTAAAATCCTGGGTGGGAACATTGTGCTTTTGATGGTCTGTGATTGGATGAATTAATCAGTCTCTATGGCTAATGTCTTTTTTTTTTTTTTTCTAACCTGGTTAGGATTTAAAAATCTCTAGAACAGGTACATTTTTCTAGACTTCCACTGACAGTGTCATTCCAAATGTCTCTTAAGAGTCATACACCATTGACAGGAATCTGTCTCCATCATTCCCACTTTTATATGCTCTGAAATTGGCGGGGACACATTCCCCCTGTGTTGTGTCTATTCACAGGAGGAAGGCTGGATCAGCATTGAGGTCTGAGAGTCTTTGAATTATTTTGATGAGCTCACTCATTCATCACTCATGACGACATGATCTGTTATGAGAAGCTAGGTTTTACCCAGAGCCAGAAGCTGTGCTCACACTGGTATCTTTCTGTGAGCTCCCAGATCTCGCATCTTGGGAGGATGCTGCCCTATGGGTACCCATCAGTATGACACCTTCCTGTCTGCTGGACAGGAAGGCGGCCATCTTGGACAGACTTTGAAGTCACTGACCCAGTTGTCTCCCTGTAAATGGGCTGCGGTGAAGAGTGGAAACATGTTATGCGTCTAGAAAACAAGAAGAGGATGTGTAGATGAGATGAGTTCTAGGTTCATGAATTCAATGTAAATCTTATCATAGCAAATATTATTTACTTCCTG